CTTACTATAACCCACTTTTCACATCCAACCTTTATTTTACTCCACATAATCCTTGAATTAATACATTTATAGTCCCTCTTTTCCTGCCATATCTTATCCTACGTACGTACCACGTATAATTTAGTTTGACAACACCACTACAATGGTCACCAGTGCACACGTGCTTACGGAGCTACCCTCACGGTGCAAGGAATTCTCGTGGTTTCCTTACATTGCATGCAGTTAATTCGCCAGATTTCTTTCTTCTAACCATGGGTCCTAAGGAAGCAAGTGCAAAGGACAGTGCTGAGAAGAAAAAGAAGACGATTTTCATGGAATTAAAGCAAGAAAGGATTAATAAGCACAGACTAGGTATGAGGGTTGAGGACTTGGCGAGTTGAGTACAAGCCTTTATTATATGTACCTACGGTTTAGCGCTTCCCCATGATTATAATAATAATAATAATCTACTATATGTGCAATGCTAAAGCAGAAGGAGTCTAAAAAGGCTATAGTGCCAGCAAAGGGCATTACAGTAATTGTTGACATGGTTGACGGAGAAACAGCTCACAGGAGATACGTAGTGTAGCGAGATAAACAAAAATTGTACATAGCAGTCCTTTAACCCTTTGACTGTTTTGGTCGTATATATACGTCTTATGAATGATTTAGATAAAGAAAAATTGGATATCAAATTGGGGAGGAGGAGTATGGAAGAAGTGAATGTTTTCAGATACTTGGGAGTTGACGTGTCGGCGGATGGATTTATGAAGGATGAGGTTAATCATAGAATTGATGAGGGAAAAAAGGTGAGTGGTGCGTTGAGGTATATGTGGAGTCAAAAAACGTTATCTATGGAGGCAAAGAAGGGAATGTATGAAAGTATAGTAGTACCAACACTCTTATATGGGTGTGAAGCTTGGGTGGTAAATGCAGCAGCGAGGAGACGGTTGGAGGCAGCGGAGATGTCCTGTTTAAGGGCAATGTGTGGTGTAAATATTATGCAGAAAATTCGGAGTGTGGAAATTAGGAGAAGGTGTGGAGTTAATAAAAGTATTAGTCAGAGGGCAGAAGAGGGGTTGTTGAGGTGGTTTGGTCATTTAGAGAGAATGGATCACAGTAGAATGACATGGAAAGCATATAAATCTATAGGGGAAGGAAGGCGGGTAGGGGTCGTCCTCGAAAGGGTTGGAGAGAGGGGGTAAAGAGGTTTTGTGGGTAAGGGGCTTGGACTTCCAGCAAGCGTGCGTGAGCGTGTTAGATAGGAGTGAATGGAGACGAATGGTACTTGGGACCTGACATCTGTTGGAGTGTGAGCAGGGTAATATTTAGTGAAGGGATTCAGGGAAACCGGTTATTTTCATATAGTCGGACTTGAGTCCTGGAAATGGGAAGTACAATGCCTGCACTTTAAAGGAGGGGTTTGGGATATTGGCAGTTTGGAGGGATATGTTGTGTATCTTTATATGTTTATGCTTCTAGACTGTTGTATTCTGAGCACCTCTGCAAAAACAGTGATAATGTGCGAGTGTGGTGAAAGTGTTGAATGATGATGAAAGTATTTTCTTTTTGGGGATTTTCTTTCTTTTTTGGGTCACCCTGCCTCGGTGGGAGACGGCCGACTTGTTGAAGAAAAGAAGAAGAAGAAGAAATGAACCACCGTTTTTGACGTATATAGTATACTCAAATTCTAGCGACTTCAAATCAAGCAGGAGAAAGCTGGTAGGCCCACACATGAGAGAATGGGTCTGTGTGGTCAGAGTGCACCATATAAAAAAAATCCTGCAGCACGCAGTACATAATGAGAAAAAAAAACAAAAAAAAACTCCAACTGTTTTTTTTTTAATTAAAATGCCGACTTTGTGGTCTATTTATGGTTGTATTCTCGTTTTCTTGGTCTCATTTGATAGAATAGAAAACATATTATAGAAATAGAGGTGATTTTGATTGGTTTTACTAAGAAAAGAACCTTGAAATGGAGTTCAAAGTAGGGGAAAGGTTTGATTTTTGCCGATGTTCAAAAGTAAACAAATGATGTCATTTTCCAATAAATGTCCAAGTAGCCATTCTAATATGCACTCATGAATGGGTTGACCTTATTTATACAATTATTACAATATTGCAGTAGTCTGCATAACAGTAAATCTATTTTTTGTTTGAATAACAATTTAAAATAGATAGCATAAGTAATATCAGAGGGGCCTGGAGACATGACTGATGAACAAAGAAAATATTATTTTAGAGCCAGGAATGTCTGCATTGTTCATTCTGGACCCTATTTTGAAATTGTCATTTTTTAATTTTCATGAAATTGGCCAAAATGCAAATTTTTGACCATGTTATTGGGTAGTTGAAATTGGTAAATGGGCAGTTTCTTGTACTCAATCGATAGAAAAAATGGAGTTCTAAAGAAATAGCTATGAGTTTGGTCGACTGGAACAATGGAATTAGCCAAAAATAGGGCTCAAAGTGGGCGAAATCGCCGAGGTCAGTAACTTCTCGAGTGTAATTCCGTCAGTTTTTCATCAAATTTTGTTCTTTTGGTGCCATTACAATCGGGAAAAGATTCTCTATCATTTCATAAGGAAAAATGATTGGGGGTGGAGGGGAATTTTTGCGACACCAGGAGATACCTCAGGATTTGAGGTTGCAACAGTCAAGCGGTTAAGGAAAGTGTGAACTCCTGACAGGATATGCCGCTCTGCATTTCTTCTCCAAGATATGTAAATGTCATATGTACAACAGATCTAATTCAGTTAGCCTCACAAACTCCATTTTCTCTTATAACACCTCTGACATTTTCATAGTTAGATGGTTCGACCACAATCCTCCTCCCTCTGCCGTCAACATAATGACGTATTTTATTCATTCTCGAGTGTGTATCAGGTTTCTATCTTATTTATATTGTTTATTATGTCATATTAGACAGATAAATAAGCTGTAGAGTTGATATTAGGGTTATTTTGTCATGCCTCCTGAGAGCAGGAATTCAGCTGGAACAAATTAATTGCATTTCCATTAGTTTAAATGAGGAAAATTGACCAAGCATACGAACAAATCAGGATATGAACAAGTCCATGGAACAGAGTAAATTCATGAGCCGATGTTCCACTATACTTTGATTTTAATCATGAAATAAAAAAAAACTGTCCTCTGGATATTGAAAGAAAATCGAAGTGTAGTGTTCACAAAATGGGCTAATGTAACGTTTTTGTTAAGTGTCTGATCAGAGGAAACACCAGAACTGTATGTAAAGTTGATGGCTAAATTGAGCACTACACTATGAAAGATTTATTTTTATATCTTTCTCACTTTCTTGTCATTTTACATTGACAGTGACAAAGATTTAATTATGATAGTAGAAGGCAATGGAATCACCAATATGGCAATAACAGTTAATATGTGGAGTTTCATACATACATACATACATACATGTATGAAAGTATAGTAGTACCAACACTCTTATATGGATGTGAAGCTTGGGTGGTAAATGCAGCAGCGAGGAGACGGTTGGAGGCAGTGGAGATGTCCTGTTTAAGGGCAATGTGTGGTGTAAATATTATGCAGAAAATTCGGAGTGTGGAAATTAGGAGAAGGTGTGGAGTTAATAAAAGCATTAGTCAGAGGGCAGAAGAGGGGTTGTTGAGGTGGTTTGGCCATTTAGAGAGAATGGATCAAAGTAGAATGACATGGAAAGCATATAAATCTATAGGGGAAGGAAAGAGGGGTAGGGGTCATCCTCGAAAGGGTTGGAAAGAGGGGGTAAAGGAGGTTTTGTGGGCGAGGGGCTTGGACTTCCAGCAAGCGTGCATGAGCGTGTTAGATAGGAGTGAATGGAGACGAATGATACTTGGGACCTGACGATCTGTTGGAGTGTGAGCAGGGTAATATTTAGTGAAGGGATTCAGGGAAACCGGTTTATTTTCATATAGTCGGACTTGAGTCCTGGAAATGGGAAGTACAATGCCTGCACTTTAAAGGAGGAGTTTGGGATATTGGCAGTTTGGAGGGATATGTTGTGTATCTTTATACGTATATGCTTCTAAACTGTTGTATTCTGAGCACCTCTGCAAAAGCAGTGATAATGTGTGAGTGTGGTGAAAGTGTTGAATGATGATGAAAGTATTTTCTTTTTGGGGATTTTCTTTCTTTTTTGGGTCACCCTGCCTCGGTGGGAGACGACCGACTTGTTGAAAAAAAAAAAAAAAAAAAAAAAAAAAAAAAAAAAAAAAAAAAAAAAAAAGTGGAGTTGAATGCTTTGGTAGTGACAGGAGTCACCACCAAAGCATTCAATTTTTTAATTTTTTTTTTTTGGTTTTTGACGAGAGGGAGGGGATTAAATTTGAGACATTGGTAACATATAATTTTTTTTCCAAATTTTTGTTAAATCTGAACAGCTTTTTCCATAAGAGATATACTGTACATAGTAATCCCCCTCCTACTTATGAACAGGTTCGGTTCCAAGCAGTCATTTGTAAGTCCATTTTGTTCATTAAGTCCAACATATGTAAATAAAAATAAAATGAACGCAGGAAAAATACACATTGTACACTAGTAAATAAAAACGTGTTATACATATATGATATAAAGTTTATAATCTTTGTAATAAAGTTTGTAAATAACACACTTAATAAAACAGATGGTGTTCATATTATCCGTGTTCACAACACGAATGTTTGTATGTAGGGGTGTCTTGTCTCTGTACTTACAAACCCCTCAAGAAAATATAACGTTATTGTACATTTTGTTAATCTGTTTAGTTATAAAAGAACCTTGAGTAATATATTACAGGTATAAAATGTTTTTTTTTTTACAGGTTTCAGGTTAGTACAGTATTTACATGGTAATTTGGCCATTTTTTGTTTTTGGAGGCAGCTGCACATCTTAACCAACTGAAACTGCTGATAGAAATAATAAGGGATACAAAATTTATTACAAGATTATAATGCATATATGGCATCATTCATTTTGAAATCTATTGCATAACTTATTAAAGTGAACTAATATCATGTAAAACATACCAAGAGGGCTGATATGAAGGGGAGTGTTGAACATGGTTAATGGTAATTTGTCATCTCCACCTTGCTCTAGCTTGACCTCATTAACCACAGGAGTCTGAGGCATTAACTTGAAGAGACTGAGCAGAAGCCTTTGAAGTAAATTACTTTGCCTGTAAAAAACACAAATTAGCTCTGTTTTTTATTGTTTTTGTAATGCTTCAACCATCTTCCACCAAGGTAGAGTGACTTGAAATATTTTTTTTTTTTTTTTTTTTACACACTGGCTATCTCCCATCAATATAGAGTGATCCTAAAAAGATGAACTTTTATCATCACTCTAACACCGTCTTGCCAAAGGCCCACCAACTTTACAATGCATATGCCCCTCCAAACTGCAATACTCCCCCCCTTCAGAATGCAGGCACTGTACTTCCCACCTTCAGGACTCGTCTGGCTAACCAGTTTCCTTGAATCTCTTCATAAATGTTACTTTGCTCACACTCCAACAGCACATTAAATCATAATCACCATCTGTCTCCACTCACTCCTATCTAACATGCTCATGCATGCTTGTTCAAAGTCCAAGCCCCTTGCACACAAAACTTCCTTTACCCCTTCCCCCCAATCTTTCCTAGGATAACCCCTACCCTGCATACCTTCCACTATAGATTTATATGCCCTCCAAGTCATTCTATTTTGTTCCATCCTCTCTAAATGAAGCTCCCAACTGAAAGAAAATATTGTGTTATCGATAACAGACTAAACTACATAATTATGTGTATTATTTATAGTATTTATAGAAAATAACAAAAAATGCTTTTCTTAACATGTATGATAAAATCCCTCAATGATAATACTGTATATCTGCACATGTAATAAAATCAAATGCATGGGTTATTAACCCTTTGAGGGTCCAGACCCCCAATCTGAAAATTCTCCACAGGGTCCAAGAATTAAAAAAAAAAAATTTTTTTTTCTTATGAAATGGTAGAGAAACTGTTTCTGAAAGTAATAAAACAAAATAGTACAAAATTTGATCAAAAATTGCTGAAATTACGCTCTCGCAAATTTTGCTGTCAGTGATATTTACGGATCAGCAATTTTGCCCACTTTGAGTCCTATTTTCGGCCAATTACACTGTTTCATTAGACCGAATTCTTAGCTATTTCGCTCATGTGTGTTCCAATTTATCTATTGAGCACAAGAAATTGCCAATTTCACACAAAGTTCAAAATAGGGTCAAGAATAAACAATGCAGGCATTCCTGGCACTAAAATAACATTTCCTCTGTTTATTAGTTATGTTTCAAGGCTTTACAGATGAATTCCATTTTGATTTTTTATTCACATAAATAATTTTTATTCACACCAAAAAAATAATTTCCTCTTATGCAATATTGTAACTGTATAAACAATATCAACGCATTCGTGAACACACTTAAGACCCACCAGCTGATATGTATTGGAAGCATAATGTGACTTGTTTACTCTTGAACATCGGGAAATTCGAACATTTCCTCCATTTTGAGCTCAATTTCCAACTATTTTCAGTACTAAAACCAATCAAAATCATCTCTATTTCTGTAACATATCTTCCATCCTACTGAATGAGACCAAGAAGCTGCAAATACAACCAAGAAAACCATACAAAAATACACCACAAAATCATTGTTTTAATCCAAAAACATGATCACAGTTTTTTTTTTAATTATGCAGTACATGCTGCAGGATTTGTTTTATATGGTGCACAATTACCATGTAGATGCATTCTCTCATATCTAGGCCCAAATTTACTGCTCACAGCTTATCTGAGTGAGCTGAGCTCATGACATAGTATGTACTACAGCTTGGGCCCTGACTTCAAAGCTGTAGAACTACAGGACAGACCCTCAAAGGGTTAAGTAAGAGATATAGAATAAGCATTATTTGTACAGGGCAATATACATATTTCAATCTCAACAGTCAACATGTATACTCTATCCACTTGAGTGTTCAGTACATGTTCTGTGTATACATGCATCACATACAGGACTAACCGAAGATAAGCTGAATACTGATGCTGGTTAGCATCTGAGGCGTAAGTGATGGCTGCTAGGGCTAGTCTCCAAGCCATTAAGTAACCAGTGATGTGGATGAAACTCTTGGTGTAAGGCACTATTTCATGCCCATCACCCATCTCTCTTTCAGCTAAAGTGGCTTCAACACTTATGCTACTCTGTAAAGAATCAAAATGACTACTGTTTAATGAATTAAACAACAGCAATATTTATATTATCATAATTCTTATTCTTCCTATAAATTCATGGGAAAGAGCTGTACCTGTAGGGGTAATGAAGTGCTTGGGGAATGGAAGGTAATAAGGTTTGAGCTGAGAGAAGGGGGAGAGGAAGTTAACTCCAATTACTTGGATCAAGTGCCCTTCACCAGCATCATGGCTCTCCACCTGAAGCAGCAGTTTGAACAGAAATGCTCCTAGAGATGTAGCTACTTTTTAGTTACATTTATTCACATGTTTAGTAGACCTCACCTTACCTGCAACTTATGGATAAGGAACTTTATATACACAAACTGAGAACAGTGGACCCCCGACCAACGAAGGCATCGTCTAACGATAAATTTGACTAATGAAGCATTTGAGTGTAAAAATTTTGGCCCGACCAACGATTAAAAACTCGGCCAACATGATTTGCCCTGAACGCGTCCATGTGTCCCGTCTGGCCTGAATGCACCTTAGCTGCCCTGCCTTCAATTAGTGTGCCAGTGTTTACAAGCCAGTGCGGTCGCATCCACGCATACATTCGGTACATTTTGTATTATTCCAGTGTTTTTAGTGCTTGTAACTGCTAAATAAGCCACCATGGGCCCCAAGAAAGCTTCTAGTGCCATCCTTGTGGTAAAACAAGGGTGAGAATTACAACTGAAATAAAGGAGATAATCACAAAGTATGAAACTGGAGTGCGTGTCTCTGAGCTGGCCAGGTTGTATAACAAACCCCAATCAACCAACGCTACTATCTTGGCCAACAGAAAGGCAATCAAGGAAGCTGCTGTTGCGAACGGTGCAAGTACGTTTTCAAAACACAGATCGCAAGTACTCAAAGATGTTGATTGTTACTGGTGTGGATAAATGAAAAACAGATATCAAGAGATAGCATCTTTCAAGCGATCATATGTGAAAAGGCAAGGCAGTTGCATGATGATTTAATTAAAAAAATGCCTGCAACTAGTGGTGATGTGAGTGAATTTAAGGCCAGCAAAGGTTGGTTTGAGAGATTTAAGAATCGCAGTGGCATACACAGTGTGGTAAGGCATGGTGAGGCTGCCATTTGGACAAAAAAGCGGCTGAAAAATCTGTGCATGAATTCCAGGAGTACATCGAGATGAAGGATTGCAACCCCAACAAGTGTTTAATTGTGACGAAACAGGCCTGTTTTGGAAGAAAATGTCAAAAAGGACCTACATTACACAGGAGGAAAAAGCATTGCCAGGACACAAGCCTATGAAGGACAGGGTTACTTTAATGCTGTGTAGTAATGCTAGTGGGGATTGCAGAGTGAAGTCTCTACTCGTGTATCACTCTGAAACTCCCAGTGTGTTCAGGAAAAACAATGTCGTCAAGGCTAATTTGTGTGTGATGTGGAGGGCAAACAGTAAGGCATGGGTCACTAGAGATATTTTCTATGACTGGTTTTACCATGTGTTTGGCCCCACTGTGAAAAATTACCTCCTGGAAAATAAATTGAACCTTAAGTGCCTCCTGGAATTAGACAATGCTCCTGCTCATCCTTCAAACCTGCTGGAGAGAATTTCGGGGGAGTTGAGTTTCATAAAAGTGAAGTTTTTGCCTCCTAATACCACTCTTCTCTTCCAGCCCATGGACCAGCAGGTCATTTCAAATTTCAAAAAACTGTACACCAAAGCAATGTTCAAAAGTGCTTTGAAGTGACCTCAGACACTCGATTGATCCTAAGAGTGTTTTGGAAAGATCACTTTAGTATCCTCAATTGCATAAACCTTATAGGTAAGGTTTGGGAGGGAGTGACTAACAGGACCTTGAACTCTGCTTGGAGGAAATTGTGGCCAAAATGTGTACAAGAGAGGGATTTTGAAGGGTCTGAGGCTAATCCTCAGGAGCCTATGCCAGTTGTGGAATCTATTGTGGCACTGGGGAAGTCCATGGAGTTGGAGGTTAGTGGGGAGGATGTGGAAGAGTTGGTGGAGGACGACGATGAAGAACTAACTACTGCTGAGCTGCAAGAGCCTCTGCAACAGCAAGAGGCCACAACTGAGGAAATTGCTTCAGAGGAGAGAGAGAGAGAAATTGAGGAAGTTGCCTTCTTCAACGATTAAGGAAATGTGTACAATGTGGACAAAGGTGCAAACCTTTATGGAGGAAAATCACCCTGACACAGCTATTGCAAGCTATGCTGGTGACTTTTACAATGACAATGTTGTGAACCACTTTACGAAAATCTTAAAGGAACGCGAGGTACAGAGCTCTATCGGCAGATTTTTGGTGCGACAGAGGCCCAGTGACTTTCAAGTTGTTCCCAGTGGCATTAAAAAACAAAGAAGGAAAGTAACCCCAGAAAAGGACTTGCTACCTAAAGTCCTTATGGAAGGGGATACCCTTTCCAAACAATTGTAAACTCCTCCATCATCTCCCTTCCTCCCATCTCATCACTATATCTTCAATAAAAGTGTCATTTATTCTTCATTTAGTACAGTACATTATTGTGCATGTATCCTTTTTCTGTGTAGGAAAATGTATATTTCATGTGAAATTTTTTTTCATACTTCTGGGTGTCTGGAACGGATAATTGGATTTCTATTATTTCTTATGGGGAAAATTAATTCGACTGACGATAAATTCGACTAACGATGAGCTCTCTGGAATGGATTAACATCGTTGGTCGAGGGTCCACCGTATTCCTCTTATGCAAGTTCTGTGTTATGTTACTGAGAGATATTTATCATTCCAATTCCTCTTATGCAAGATCAATTTGATCTTTCACTGAGATATATACTGGAGGTGGGTGGAAACTTCATTATGGATTGAGCTTGACTGAGCATGCTCTAAGGTCTGGCCTAAGTTGCAGAGAAATATCTTATTCTTCTTTCTTCTTTCAACAAACCGGCCGTATCCCACTGAGGCGGGGTGGCCCAAAAGGAAAAATGAAAGTTTCTCCTTTTACATTTAGTAATATATACAGGAGAAGGTTTCTTTTTCTGGTTTCTTTTTCTGTCTCATAAACACGCTAGATAACAGGGATATCTTGCTACTCCTACTTACACTTTGGTCACACTTCACAGACACGCACATGCATATATATATACATACATCTAGGTTTTTCTCCTTTTTCTAAATAGCTCTTGTTCCTCTTTATTTCTTCTATTGTCCATGGGGAAGTGGAAAAGAATCTTTCCTCCGTAAGCCATGCGTGTCGTATGAGGCGACTAAAATGCCGGGAGCAATGGGCTAGTAACCCCTTCTCCTGTAGACATTTACTAAAAAAGAGAAGAAGAAAAACTTTATAAACTGGGATGCTTAAATGTGCGTGGATGTAGTGCGGATGACAAGAAACAGATGATTGCTGATGTTATGAATGAAAAGAAGTTGGATGTCCTGGCCCTAAGCGAAACAAAGCTGAAGGGGGTAGGGTAGTTTCGGTGGGGGAAATAAATGGGATTAAATCTGGAGTATCTGAGAGAGTTAGAGCAAAGGAAGGGGTAGCAGTAATGTTGAATGATCAGTTATGGAAGGAGAAAAGAGAATATGAATGTGTAAATTCAAGAATTATGTGGATTAAAGTAAAGGTTGGATGCGAGAAGTGGGTCATAATAAGCGTGTATGCACCTGGAGAAGAGAGGAATGCAGAGGAGAGAGAGAGATTTTGGGAGATGTTAAGTGAATGTATAGGAGCCTTTGAACCAAGTGAGAGAGTAATTGTGGTAGGGGACCTGAATGCTAAAGTAGGAGAAACTTTTAGAGAGGGTGTGGTAGGTAAGTTTGGGGTGCCAGGTGTAAATGATAATGGGAGCCTTTGATTGAACTTTGTATAGAAAGGGGTTTAGTTATAGGTAATACATATTTTAAGAAAAAGAGGATAAATAAGTATGCAAGATATGATGTAGGGCGAAATGACAGTAGTTTGTTGGATTATGTATTGGTAGATAAAAGACTATTGAGTAGACTTCAGGATGTACATGTTTATAGAGGGGCCACAGATATATCAGATCACTTTCTAGTTGTAGCTACACTGAGAGTAAAAGGTAGATGGGATACAAGAATAGAAGCATCAGGGAAGAGAGAGGTGAAGGTTTATAAACTAAAAGAGGAGGCAGTTAGGGTAAGATATAAACAGCTATTGGAGGATAGATGGGCTAATGAGAGCATAGGCAATGGGGTCGAAGAGGTATGGGGTAGGTTTAAAAATGTAGTGTTAGAGTGTTCAGCAGAAGTTTGTGGTTACAGGAAAGTGGGTGCGGGAGGGAAGAGGAGCGATTGGTGGAATGATGATGTGAAGAGAGTAGTAAGGGAGAAAAAAGTTAGCATATGAGAAGTTTTTACAAAGTAGAAGTGATGCAAGGAGGGAAGAGTATATGAGAAAAAGAGAGAGGTTAAGAGAGTGGTGAAGCAATGTAAAAAGAGAGCAAACGAGAGAGTGGGTGAGATGTTATCAACAAATTTTGTTGAAAATAAGAAAAAGTTTTGGAGCGAGATTAACAAGTTAAGAAAGCCTAGAGAACAAATGGATTTGTCAGTTAAAAACAGGAGAGGAGAGTTATTAAATGGAGAGTTAGAGATATTGGGAAGATGGAGGGAATATTTTGAGGAATTGTTAAATGTTGATGAAGATAGGGAAGCTGTGATTTCGTGTATAGGGCAAGGAGGAACAACATCTTGTAGGAGTGAGGAAGAGCCAGTTGTGAGTGTGGGGGAAGTTCGTGAGGCAGTAGGTAAAATGAAAGGAGGTAAGGCAAGCCGGGATTGATGGGATAAAGATAGAAATGTTAAAAGCAGGTGGGGATATAGTTTTGGAGTGGTTGGTGCAATTATTTAATAAATGTATGGAAGAGGGTAAGGTACCTAGGGATTGGCAGAGAGCATGCATAGTTCCTTTGTATAAAGGCAAAGGGATAAAAGAGAGTGCAAAAATTATAGGGGGATAAGTCTGTTGAGTATACCTGGCAAAGTGTATGGTAGAGTTATTATTGAAAGAATTAAGAGTAAGACGGAGAATAGGATAGCAGATGAACAAGAGGCTTTAGGAAAGGTAGGGGGTGTGTGGACCAGCTGTTTACAGTGAAACATATAAGTGAACAGTATTTAGATAAGGCTAAAGAGGTCTTTGTGGCATTTATGGATTTGGAAAAGGCGTATGACAGGGTGGATAGGGGGGCAATGTGGCAGATGTTGCAGGTGTATGGTGTAGGAGGTAGGTTACTGAAAGCAGTGAAGAGTTTTTACGAGGATAGTGAGGCTCAAGTTAGAGTATGTAGGAAAGAGGGAAATTATTTCCCAGTAAAAGTAGGCCTTAGACAAGGATGTGTGATGTCACCGTGGTTGTTTAATATATTTATAGATGGGGTTGTAAGAGAAGTAAATGCGAGGGTCTTGGCAAGAGGCGTGGAGTTAAAAGATAAAGAATCACACATAAAGTGGGAGTTGTCACAGTTGCTCTTTGCTGATGACACTGTGCTCTTGGGAGATTCTGAAGGAAGTTGCAGAGATTGGTGGATGAATTTGGTAGGGTGTGCAAAAGAAGAAAATTGAAAGTGAATACAGGAAGAGTAAGGTTATGAGGATAACAAAAAGATTAGGTGATGAAAGATTGGATATGAGATTGGAGGGAGAGAGTATGGAGGAGGTGAATGTATTCAGATATTTGGGAGTGGACGTGTCAGCGGATGGGTCTATGAAAGATGAGGTGAATCATAGAATTGATGAGGGGAAAAGGGTGAGTGGTGCACTTAGGAGTCTGTGGAGACAAAGAACTTTGTCCTTGGAGGCAAAGAGGGGAATGTATGAGAGTATAGTTTTACCAACGCTCTTATATGGGTGTGAAGCATGGGTGATAAATGTTGCAGCGAGGAGAAGGCTGGAGGCAGTGGAGATGTCATGTCTGAGAGCAATGTGTGGTGTGAATATAATGCAGAGAATTCGTAGTTTGGAAGTTAGGAGGAGGTGCGGGATTACCAAAACTGTTGTCCAGAGGGCTGAGGAAGGGTTGTTGAGGTGGTTCGGACATGTGGAGAGAATGGAGCGAAACAGAATAACTTCAAGAGTGTATCAGTCTGTAGTGGAAGGAAGGCGGGGTAGGGTCGGCCTAGGAAAGGTTGGAGGGAGGGGGTAAAGGAGGTTTTGTGTGTGAGGGGCTTGGACTTCCAGCAGGCATGTGTGAGCGTGTTTGATAGGAGTGAATGGAGACAAATGGTTTTTAATACTTGACGTGCTGTTGGAGTGTGAGCAAAGTAACATTTATGAAGGGGTCCAGGGAAACCGGCAGGCCGGACTTGAGTCCTGGAGATGGGAAGTACAGTGCCTGCACTCTGAAGGAGGGGTGTTAATGTTGCAGTTTAAAAACTGTAGTGTAAAGCACCCTTCTGGCAAGACAGTGATGGAGTGACTGATGGTGAATGTTTTTCTTTTTCGGGCCACCCTGCCTTGGTGGGAATCGGCCAGTGTGATAATAAAAAAAAAAATACAGGAGAAGGGGTTACTAGCCCCTTGCTCCTTGCATTTTAGTTGCCTCTTACAACACGCATGGCTTACGGAGGAAGAATTCTGTTCCACTTCCCCATGGAGATAAGAGGAAACAAACAAGAACAAGAACCAGAAAGAAAATAGAAGAAAACCCAGAGGGGTGTGTATATATATGCTTGTACATGTATGTGCAGTGTGACCTAAGTGTAAGTAGAAGCAGCAAGACATACCTGAAATCTTGCATGTTTATGAGACAGACAAAAGACACCAGCAATCCTACCATCATGTAAAACAATTACAGGCTCTCGTTTTCCACTCACTTGGCAGGACGGTAGTACCTCCCTGGGCGGTTGCTGTCTACCAACCTACTACCTAGGCTTGAATAGACCTATTTGTGTTAAATGTGATAAAAGGTACTCATGTTGTTTATGAATTTTCTCTGCAGCCATATTTCATGACTGAAAACTTATGTTGGGGAGGTTCCACTGGAGCATTGAGTCTGCATTCAGCATCTACTGAAAACTGAGGTCTACTACCACCTATACTCTTATGTTCTGAGAAAAGAGGCAGGGGAACTGGAAACCTGTATAAACTAGGAACATTGCATTCATCACTACTGCTCACCAATCTAAAAATGGGGATATGGCAATTGGAAGTTTGGGTTTTCAATGTGACAAACCAGTCCACATCAGGAAATCCTCAGTGCTCCACTCAAGAATGAAACAAGGGCATGCTGGAATTCTTATTCGTGTGACACCAGAATCAAGGTTGACTGATGCATTTAGCCTTACCAGAATTCAGAGTATGAGATTAATGTGAGTGTAAAAAAAGATTTGGCTGGATGAAATTCAAGATACTTTAAATTTAAGCTCTTATCATGTAAACCACAAATAGATAATCTACTTGAAAATTAAGGATGTAGTTCAATAAATATAAAATTTTAGCTTACTTCTTCTATAATTCTTGTTATAGAGTATGGTAGTGGTCTTTGTGGTGAATCCTCTTCTTCTCTGACTGCTATCTGATTCTTCTCCCACTCTGTCATAATTTTTGGTAGAGAAGTGTTGAGCAGGTTGTATGCAGCACACTGTGCTGGGGGATGTGATGATAAAAGCAGTGGGCACAGATGATTCAGCAGGATCTGCAAAGTTTCAAAACAATTTGGTTTAGACATCACATAACAGCACAGATTAATATATATACATACTTCTTCTTCTTTCAACAAACCAGCTGTATCCCACCAAGGCAGGGTGACCCATAAAGAAAAACAAAAGTTTCTCTTTTACTTGTTCTTCTGTCTTTCAACGTACCAGCCGTATCCCACCGAGGTGGGGTGGCCCAAAAGAAAAAAACGAAAGTTTCTCCTTTTAAAATTAGTAATATATACAGGAGAAGGGATCACCAGCTCCTTGCTCCCGGCATTTTAGTCACCTCTAACGATACGCATGACTTATGGAGGAAGAATTCTGTTCCATTTCTCCATGGAGATAAGGGGATATAAACAAGAACTAGTAAGAAAATAAAAGAAAACCCAGAGGGGTGTGTATATATATGCTTGTACATGTACGTGTAGTGTGACCTAAGTGTAAGCAGAAGTAGTAAGACGTACCTGAAATCTTGCATGTTTATGAGACAGAAAAACCAACCCTACCATTATGTAAACAATTACAGGCTTCCATTTTACACTCACTTGGCAGGATGGTAGTACCTTCTTGGGTGGTTGCTGTCTACCAACTTACTACCTACATTGGTGTACAGATATTAGCTTCCATGGGGAAGTGGAACAGAATTCTTCCTCCGTAAGCCATGCGTGTTGTAAGAGGCAACTAAAATGCCGGGAGCAAGGGGCTAGTAACCTTTTCTCCTGTATATATTACTAAATGTAAAAGGAGAAACTTTCGTTTTTCCTTTTGGGCCACCCCGCCTCGATGAGATACGGCCGGTGTGGTGAAAGAAAGAAGATGTTTACATTAATATTTTTTGCATTTGTTGCTTTCTTTTTTGTAATGAGCTTTTACAGAGAGTACCAACATTAAGGAAATTAAATAAGGCTATGTGAGGGATCACTGTAATGCAGGGTTTTATCTGGATATTATTATAACCCCGTAATAAAACTTACCTGCTCAGAATCTGGCAGCTTTAATTCTTCTTCTGCAAGCATAGCATTGTAGATAGGAGGAAGGGAATGATTGGCTAGGTCATCTGGGCTCGCATGATGCACACCGATGGAAACTGCTTGGCACACCCCATAGAGAATGATGGAAGGATTTCTGTTGAATGATACTAAAAGCAAACACAATCAAATATTAACAGTATATACCATGTGACTTACTGAACATTAAAACCCTATTAACTAAAATAAAACCCTGTTAACTAAATGTAATGAACTAGGATCAGAGAGCTTGTAAGGAGGGGAAGGAAGAAAGTTGGGGAAGGCTAGAAAGGGGAAAGGAGCTGAAGAGGTATTGGGGAGAGAGGAAAGGAGATAAAAAGATAAGTGGCCCAACCATTTTTATTTTAACTTGGTAATGGATCTGCGCAGTTTACATTTGCAGCCATATGAAATTTCTCCTTGGAGAAGTGGAGAATAATCTTTTTTCTGTAAGCCATGTGTGTCACAAGAGGTGACTAAAATGCCAGCAGCAAGGGGTTAGTCAGCCTTTCTCCTGTATAAATTACTAAATGTAAAAAGAAGAAAAACTTTCATTTCTTCTTATTCAGGTCACCCTGCCTCAGAGGAAGATGGCTGGTGTGCTAAAAAAAAAAAAAAAAAAAAAAAAAAAAAAAAAAAAAAAAAAAAAAAAAAAAATCCTAAAGGATGCATACTACACTGCCTAACACTCCTGTACATGTATACACAAAAGGTGTTAACATGCATACTCATGTTTTAGGTGTGGATATTTTTTTCTGTAAGTTTTATCCAAGAACAAAACTCTGTATGAAATCAGGGATTTTTTCATTAAAAAAAAAAAACCATCATGTACAAAATGAAATGACAAATTTAAAAACTGCATAAACATTTTTTATTAATTAACATTACTCAGAAAAATACAGTAAACCCTCGATATAATGGACTAATATGGGATGTTCATCATGTCAGAATAACGTTAAAAATAGCAATAAAATGTGCTAAGGTGCCCTACTTTATACCTAATAAAGTATGTACTTAACACAATCTATAGATATACTGCAATAAACTTTGAAAATAAATAAGTTATAAGTACAATTTCCCCAGTGGATTTTGCTCATAATTCTAAGTGTGTGTTATTTTGGGGTCTGTTATATCAAGGGTTTACCATATTCTATTACGGTAAAGCAAACACATTCTTGTGTTTGCATAAAACATACAGACCTGAAACATCTACATATATGGGGATAAGTGAATTGTAGATTGATGGAGAGAAAAATTCTTTCCAGTCCTCTAAAAGCTTGGGAGGATACTTCTCTTTTTCTGCTGGGTTGAGTGCCAACTTCTCCATGAATTCACTGACACAACCAAGGCATTTGCATACTGCACATGTGAAGGTTCCGGCCACAGTTTCTTTGTTTATAGTCTTGAACAGTAAAATATTAATTCATTAATATATCACTGGGCTTCACTCTCAATATACAAATCACAGCAAAATTTATCTAAGATAGGTAATCACACACAAACATTAATGTAAATAATAAATCTAACAATTGATGGAAAATGAAAATGCTTAATACATATGTATATAATCTCTGCTAACAGGGAATAGTATAACAATATTTTATATCTGTTAATGGGTCTAGAGAACATCTTCCCTATGGCCCGGTCTCAAACCAGGCTTCCTAAATTGTGAAGAAAAGTATTATAAATAATAAATATTAAACACACAGAAAATTAAAGATACTAAATGCAGGTATATTATTGTAATCAAAGAAGTGGTAAACTCGTATAGCTTCTGGGATTATGAGACATTCAGGCTCAATTCAAGGGGAAAGGAAGTCAGCCCCTCATCAGCATCAGCAGCAACTATAGGCCAATATCTAACTTATCTTTGCTATCTAAAATCTTCGAGAAGCATATCCATAAAAGATTATACTCCTTTATAACATCACAAGGCATTCTCAACACATACCAGTCTGACTTCAGGTGAAACAAATGCACAAATGATGCAATTATAAAAATGCTAGGTCTACTTTATACAGCACTTGAAAAAAATGAATAGCCACTAGGACTCTTTATCAACCTAAGGAAACCTTTTGATACAGTAGACCACAGTGTCCTACATCACAGATTTGATCATTACTTTATCAGAGGTCATGCACCTGGATATATAAAAATCTTACTTTACTAACAGACAGCAATATGTCTCTATTAAGGACACAACCTCTTCAACAAGACCTGTGGACATTGACGTTCCACAGGGAAGTGTCCTTGGCCTCCTGCTTTTCCTTCTATACATCAATGACCTTCCAAATGTATCGCAATAACTTGGACCTATTCTCTTTGCTGATGACACAACTTTTGTCGTCTTCCACCCAAATTCAGAATCACTCAATAAAACTGTTCATGAAGAGCTCTTAAAAACAGCAACCTGGATGACTACCAATAAACTTACACTTAACACCTTCTACAATATGTTTGGGAGCAGAGCAAGTAATGTCCAACTAAACATTATAATTAACAATACTCCAATTACTAAACATAAGAGTAAATTTCTGGGTCTGCCCCTTGAAATTCAACATTCACATCCAACACATAACAATAGTGTCCAAAATAGTTGGCATCCTCTCAAAAATATGTTATTAAGTATCAAAGATACGTTTCAACGTACCACAAACAGCACCACTTACATTATACCCCTACCTCGCCTACACTATTTGTGCCTGGGGACCCACAACAGCAAATCACCTCAAATAAATAATAACTCAACAAAAGGCTGCAGTACAAATGATCATGCAGTCCACCGCTAGACAACACTTCCCCCAACTCTTCAAAGACTTAGATCTACCTACTATACAAAACATTTATTCTTACTACTGTGCATCCTACATATACAGAATAAATTCTAATATTAATACTGACCTGAAGCACTTTTTTGATAGTTGCAACAGGACCCATACACATAATACTAGGCACAAAAATCTCTCTGACATACCCCATGTCCAGTTTAACCTTTGTGAAAACTCAGTGTACATAAAAGGGCCTAAAATCTGGAACTCCCTGCTGGAAATCTTCAGTCACTCTCTCAGCCAGCTTCTTCAAAACTACCATTAAACAAAACCTTCTCTCCCTAACATTTCCCAATATCAGCTAAATATGAAAAAACTATACAGTAGAACCCGTTTCCACTGATTCAGAATCTGCGATATCAGTTATCCATGGTTTACTGTGGCCCAAAAATACCTCTTAATTTTGCATAATAATGGCAGCTGGCAGTTTTTCAGAGCCTAAGAGAAGGTGTGAAGTTGTTCCCATCAGTGAAAAGTGATAATTGTCCACTTATTGTGCATAATTTATCACTAAACTTTATAATAGATATGTACAGGACTTACATATAGGGTTTGCTACTAGCCATGGTTTTGGTATCCAAGGCATGTCCTTAGATACCAAATATGGATATACAGTAGGACCCCCGTGAATACAGGGGTCCTACTGTATATCCACACTCTCACTGTCGCAAACATGTGGAAAACAATACAGTGGACCCTCCATTTTCCTCGATCTCCGTTATCACTGATTTCGGTTTTGGCTGACTTTTTTCGTTGATTTATTGGTTCTGTTTTTGTCGATCATACAGAACCTGTCCAGTGCCCAGCACGGAGACAAAGCTGCCTTCCACACGCATTCTCAGCCAATGCAGTGTTTCTTGGTGAGTGAACATATCCTGCCAGGTTATACGAAACATTTCGTAATACATGCAATCCATTGTTTTTGCCACTTATTAATTGTGTGTGACTGCTAAATAAGCCACCATGGGCTCAAAGAAAGCTTCAAGTGCCAGCCCTTTGGTAAAGAATGTGAGAAACACAATTCAAGAAAAAGTTTGTACAAAAATACAAAAGTGGTGGTGGTAGAGGGTAGTAGTGCTTGTGATGGTGGTAGAGGGTGGTAGTGGTAGTGATGGTGGTAGTGGTTGTGATGCTGGTAGAGGGTGGTAGTGGTTGTGATGGGGTAGAGGGTGCCTTCTTCAGTGATTCAGCAATTCTACTAACTCCTCCATTGTTGTTGGAGTTATATAGGGCTACAGAAAACACCACCACCTCAGCTGCAGCCTTCACCAACATTATGTATGGCTTATGCTCACAGTGGCCCTTATATACCCAACAACAACAGAACACCTATCGTTACAAACATGATGACTTATTTTACTCATTCATGTTTCTATGTTATCAATATTGTTTATTATGTCATATTAGTTGAACTGTGATAGATAAATAAGCTGCAAAGTTGATATTAGCGTCATATTCTCCAACAATAAACTTGCTTCCCTCTCCCCTCTGCCTGGTCTGCCATACACCAACAAATCTTTTCAATAAAATTAAGTCTTCTTCTTTCTTTCAACGCACTGGCCGTATCCCACCGAGGCAGGGTTGCCCAAAGAGAAAAATGAAAGTTTCTCTTTTTAAATTTACTAATTTATACAGGAGAAGGGGTTACTAGCCCCTTGCTCCCGGCATTTTAGTCGACCTCTTACAACACGCATGGCTTACGGAGGAAGAATTCTGTTCCACTTCCCCATGGAGATAACAGGAAATAAACAAGAACAAGAACTAGTAGGAAAATAGAAGAAAACCCAGATGTGTGTGTGTGTGTGTGTGTGTGTGTGTGTGTGTGTGTGTGTATACATATACAGTGGACCCCCGCATAGCGATATTAATCCGTGCAAGAGAGCTCATTGTTATGTGAAATTATCGTTATGCGAATGAATTTTCCCCATAAGAAATACAGTGGACCCCCGCAAACCGATGGCATCACATAACGATTAATCCGCATACCGCTTGCTTTAATCGCAAAAATTTTGCCTCGCATACCGCTCAAAAACCCGCTCACCGCTCTTCGTCCGAGACGCGTCCAATGTGTGCCCTTAGCCAGCCTCACATGTGCCGCCGGTGGCATTGTTTACCAGCCAGCCTCCGCGGTAACATCCAAGCATACAATCGGAACATTTCGTATTATTACAGTGTTTTTGGTGATTTTATCTGCAAAATAAGTGACCATGGGCCCCAAGAAAGCTTCTAGTGCCAACCCTACAGCAATAAGGGTGAGAATTACTATAGAGATGAAGAAAAAGATCATTGCTAAGTATGAAAGTGGAGTGCGTGTCTCCGAGCTGGCCAGGTTGTATAATAAACCCCAATCAACCACCGCTACTATTGGTGGTACAGCTGCTGCTGCTGCTGTACTACTGTCAGCTGCTGCTGCTGCTGCACTGTCAGCTGCTGCTGCTGCTGTACCACCGTCAGCTGCTGCTGTAGTACCGTCTGCTGCTGCTGTAGCATCGTCTGCTGCTGCTGTAGCACTGTCAGCTGCTGCTGTAGTACCATCTGCTGCTGCTGTAGCATCGTCTGCTGCTGCTGTAGCACTGTCAGCTGCTGCTGCTGCTGTACCACCATCAGCTGCTGCTGTAGTACCGTCTGCTGCTGCTGTAGCATCGTCTGCTGCTGCTGTAGCACTGTCAGCTGCTGCTGCTGCTGCTGTAGCACTGTCAGCTGCTGCTGCTGTAGCACCGTTGTTGGTGTGGCTTATTGAGAATACCAAGAAACAATTAACCCCAGAGTATTTGCCACCCAGGATAACCCAAAAAAGTCAGTGTCATCGAAGACTGTCTAACTTATTTCCATTGGGGTCCTTAATCTTCTCTCCCAGGATGCAACCCACACCAGTCGACTAACACCCAGGTGAACAGGGAAAAATGCCTGGAACTAGTGCTCATATTGGTGAATTTAAAGCCAGCAAAGGTTGGTTTGAGAGATTTAAGAATCGTAGTGGCATACAGTGTGATAAGGCCTGTTCTGGAAGAAAATGCCAAACAGGACCTACAGTACTCAGGAGAAAAAGGCACTCCCAGGACACAGTGTCTCATCAGTCATTGCTGCATCTTCAATAAATGTAAGTGTTATTTATTCTTCATTTAGTAGAGTAGTACATGCACAATATATATTGTGCATGTACTACTCTACTATTGTGCATGTATCCTTCTCTTTGTGTGTAGGAAAATGTATATTTCATGTGGTAAAATTTTTTTTTTCATACTTTTGGGTGTCTTGCACGGATTAATTTGATTTCCATTATTTCTTATGGGGAAAATTCATTCGCATACCAATCATTTCGCATAACAATCAGCCCTCTTGCACGGATTAAAGTCGCTATGCGGGCGTCCACTGTATACACATATATATACAATGGACCCCTGGTTTACGATCAGCTCCCAATGCGACCAATTATGTAAATGTATTTATGTAAGTGCGTTTGTAGGTGTATGTTTGGGGGTCTGAAATGGACTAATCTAATTCACAATATTCCTTATGGGAACAAATTCGGTCAGTACTGGCACCTGAACATACTTCAGGAATGAAATAATAT